ACAGCAGCAGCAGCAGCCACAGCAGCCACAGCAGCCACAGCAGCCACAGCAGCAGCAGCAGCCCCAGCAGCCACAGCAGCCACATCAGCCACAGCAGCAGCAGCAGCAGCAGCAATCACGAGCATGAATCTGCTGCTGCTGCTGCTCCTACTGCAGCAGAAGCAGCAGAAGCAGCAGCAACATCTTCAGGCCCGCAATCACCGCCTCCTCTTCAATCAGTTGCACATAAACAGCAGCAACAACAACAACAACAAAAAGAAGATAAAGAAGAAGAAGAAAACGAGAAGCGGTTAGATGCTTCTTCTTCTCAATCTCCTTTTCGTCGTGAGGACCCCAAGAGAAGTGCAGTTAAAAGAACAAAGAATAAAAGAGCAGAAGAAGACAAACAAAGAAGCGCAACATATAAAAAAAATAAAGAAGAAGATGATTCGATGCATGCAGATAAACAGCACCATACAGATGTAGATGATCAACTATCTTCATCATCTTCATCATCATCATCTTCTTCTTCTTCTTCTTCTAAGTCTAATTCTTCTTTGCCTCCTTCTTCTTCTTCATCTTTATCTTCTTCATCTTTATCTTCTTCATCTTTATCTTCTATATCTTCTTTATCTTCTTTATCGCCTTCTTCTGCTGATAAAAAAAATAATAATTATAAATATGATTATAATTCTTCTTCGTCTTCTTCTTCTCCTACATTTAAACATATTATTGTAGAAGCACAAATTCATCATCATGAAGACGAAGAAGTAGCAACAACAGCAGCAGATGCAGCAGCAAAAGCAGCAGCAACAGCAGCAGCAGCAGCAGCAGCAGCAGATAATGATGCCGGTAAAGAGCCCTCATCTCCTTCTCCTTCTTCTTCTTCTTCTTCTTCTTCTTCTTCTTCTTCTTCTTCTTCTTCTTCTTCTTCTTCTTCTTCAGAGAAGATAAACGGTGTTAAAGATGCTTTAAATTTAAAGAATAATAGACGTAGAACTAATGCAGCTGTATCATACGACTCTGATCATATCCAAGAAGAAACTCAGACAGAAACAACAAAGAAAAATGTTTATTCAAATAAAGATAAAGATAAAGATGAAGATAAAGATAAAGATAAAGATAAAGATAAAAAGGATAAAGATAAACATAAAAAAAATAAACAAAAGAAAGAAGCTCGACCCGGCAATGTTCGTAACAACAAACTCAGCAAAGTTTCTTAAAGAAATAAACAAAATATTTTATTTATTTTTATAAATAAATTAAACAAATAAATTAAATAATTAATTAAATAAATAAATTAAATAAATAAATAAAATTATAAAATAAAAATATAATATAATACGCGAGTAAATATATAAATAAGCAAATGAAGGCTTCATATAAATATATATTTTATATATTATTTATATCTATATTATATATATGTATATATATATGTATTTATATTTTT